TCAGTGGGATTAAGGAGGTCCTCGAAGTATTCCTTCCACCGCCCGACAATTTTCTCAGTCGACAAATAATAAAGTTATTTGAATTTGAATCAAAACTTCTAGTTACAGACAAAGGATGAACTGAGAGGCTGCAAGAAGCAGAATATAAAACGAATCAGCATTATTTAAAAGTGTTAATGATGTAAATCAACTTCAGTGGAGTCCAAGAATAAAAATCTAGAGCTGAAACAAAATGAGCAGGATTTCGTTTTTGCAGGGCTTTAAAAAATTAAATGTATTTGTTTGAAAATGAAACCAGAATATTATAAATAATTAGCCACTCTAGAATTAAATTCACTTCAGTCATGCAGCTTTTAAACACAAATACAAATAAACAATAACTTGGTTGTGAGTTCAAACATTATATCTGAAAAGTCATTCATACTAAAGTTTACTAAATGATAGGGTTTTTTTAACACAAGAATTAATGTATTACAGCAATATTTGCTGTTGACAAGCATGATCAGACCTTATTTTCTGAGATCTTACTTATATTTTTCTAGGTAGTTTTCTCATCTACTCCAATTATGAACTCGACTACGGCATGAACACTACAGACAGCAATCGTTACTGCAACAAGACACTCTATCTGTTTGGATTGTGTTGCATCACCCTGACCTACATCCTCATAGGTGTTCTTGTTTTCACATTTTTTTTTGCTCGCTGCACCAACCAGATGGAGGTTTACGATGATGAGGCTCGGCCACTGCTGTGGCGCTAATCATATGAATGCATATATGTTTGTGTGTTCCCCACCTCCTCTTAGCCAAGTGGACCAATACTGATGAAACAGATTAGAATGGTGTCACAATAAAAAATGTCATATCAAATATATCACACTGTAATGGACATATACTACTACTAATAATAATGACGCTGACTGAAATATAATTATAAGCAAACAACAGACTAAATATTATATTAATATTTTAATGTGTGCTTTATGTATATACAGAACTTCATACATTTAATGTTGGTTAATACAGCAACATGTAGTTGTTGATCTTTTGTTAGAGAAATCTTACAATTAACAATTCATGTTTAATCTTTTATCATAATTTATTAAACTCCATGTACTTTGAAGCTTTATGAATACAAACAAAGATGTTTATTATGTAAATCATATGTAGTTCAATAAGGAGAGATCATTATTACATTCATCTGGAAGAAGTGAACATGATTTATTGAGACACAGAATTCAGTTAAGACACTGATGACCCATCACAGCAGAGTAAATGATCATGATCTTTCCTGTTTAACAAACGTATATGAAATGTGTGATTTTGTTTATTTGCCAATATCCATGCTGTTTCTTTTTTGTTTAATTGTAAACAAACTAAATAAATAAATAAAAGGCTGCCCTTTTTATTACCCTGTTACATCGTCTGTAATTTTTGTCAACAGTTTGATAAATTTGTTAAAATTTTCACAACTAAACAGAAACAAATGTGGGAACTAAAAACAGGAGAAGAATTTTGGTAGAACTGAGATTTCGTGCTTCAAAGAAACCCATGTCAGACAGGAAAGGCTCAGTGGGTTTGGACAACAGGACCATGCTCAGTATTTTTTGTGAGTATGTTGTAGTCAGTATCATCCTCTATGCTGTTGCATGCTGGGGCAGCAGGTTGAGGGTTGCAGATGCAACCCTCAAGATGCAACAGACTCACTAACCTGATCTGCAAGCCCAGTAATGTTGTCGGGATGGAGCTGGACTCCCTTAAGGTTGTGTGAGAGAGGCGAATGTTGTCCATGACAATATCCCAAGGACAATACTGGACAATACCTCCCACCCACTCCATGACGTGCTGGCCAGTCACAGGAGCAGGTTCGGTGACAGACTGAGATTGCCTACATGCAATTTTATGCTTAAATGCAGATGTTGCTCTCAACCTTGGTGTTTTAACCATTTGTACTGTGGTGAGTAAGTACTGAGCCCAGTGTTATTAATAACTTATATAATGACCAATCATACCATATTTAACTGAAGCAGCCACTGATTCAATTTTTCATCCTGAAGTCAGTCTTTTAATTTAATCAAAGTGAAGTTCACTTTTACATCTGAGCCATAGGTGGTGGTGAGTTTTAATAGATGAGCTAACCTGGTCTATATTAAGTTCATCACAGAAACAGGTAGGACTTTCTATTACAGCTCGCTAATAAAGGGGTAATAGTAAAGTAACAAGAGGGAAACAAGAGGGCAATAATGTGGTAATTCCTACTTTATTACTATGCAATTACCTAAGTAATCACCATGTAATATCTAAATAATATGATGATATCAACAGCGGTTACAACTGAGTAATATTACCCTGAAATTTATGTAATAGGATAACAAGAACCCAAATAATGGGGGAAATAATATTGAAATACAGCTCCGTAATAAAGTGGTAGTAGTATGGTAACAAGGAAGAAAGAAGAACATAATAATGTGGTAATTCATAAGTTATTACCACTCAATTACCTGTGGTAGTTTCTGTGTAATAAGCAGGAAACAGAGCTGCGAAATGCAAAATTGCTTGTTTCTGTTTAATATAATATTAAAAACCAGGTAATAACATTTTAAAATAAACTTAAAAATAAGAAGAGAAAAAAAGTCACTGAATTCCAAAGTTAAGACCAGGATTGAAATTACGTGAACTCTCTTAATCTCCAGATGTTTTTCTAATTTTCATAGATAACATTCAAGGAAGACGGACTCGAGGAGGTACAGCACCACCTTTTACATTTTTACCATTATTTATGACTAACATTTACAGGGTGTACTTTATTTTCAGTGAAAAAAGCTCAGTTTAAAGTTTGCTTTGTTATCTAGTCAGACTTACTGCTACTCTTCATGTTCACAAAAGTCTAGCTGCTAATATTGGAGCTTACCGAAGCTTCTGTGTCTTCTCCTTTTGAAATTATCATCGGGGACGATACCTGACACTGACACATGTCTGCACACCTGCAGACCTCCTAAATCTCCATCTGTGGTTGTAGGCAGTGGCGTCGTTGGGCCTATTTTAGGGGGGCAGAAGCTTCCCTAAGTCTTCAGCTGTCTAAAATATTTGGTGTTTTTTGTAAAGCTTTTTTTAAAGAATCAGAATCAGAATACTTTATTGATCCCTGGGGGGAATTTTTTTTTTTGTTACAGTGCTCCATTATAAACCAACATAAACCAACATTAAGACAAGACAGACAATACGCTAACTAAGAATAGTACAATATATACATAAATATATATATAAGTCACTCATTAATAAATAGCTGGAAAAGAAACATGTAGTTGTAGCAGTAACCACTGTGTTAAGTGGATGCGTTGTACAGGGAGATGGCCACAGGCAGGAAAGATGTCCTGTGTCGTTCAGTGGTGCTTTTCGGTAATCTCAGTCTCTCACTGAACGTGCTCCTGTGACTGAACAGCATGTCATGGAGTGGGTGGGAGGTGTTATCCAACATTGTCTTTATCTTGGACACTGATAAACACTGAAAGGTGGTGGATTGGCCAGATGCTGGGAGATGTGTAAAAATAACTGTTGTTTGGTGGTGGCTATTGCGGAGCTTCCACAGATTCAGTAACATTAGCAAGTGGTGGAGGCCAGCAGATGCAACACGCTGGCAGGTGGATGATGGAAAGGCAGGAGGAGCAGAGACCCGAGGCGGTGAGAAGGTAAGAAGTTATGACCTGCAGTCTATCTGGGTCAGATATAAATCAGGTTTAGGTGGATTTTATTTTCGTTATGCTGACTTTTTACAGTCAGTGACAATAACTTGTACTGCGTACTAGCTAGCATGACGGAGTTTATATACTGCTGGGCGGGTGCTATGATATTATTGATGTTGAACTTGTTTTATCTTATTTTATTTATAAGGTTAGTTATTAGAGTTTCCAGCCGTCCTGTAAAAAACGTAATCGTCTCGTATTCAGAGAAAATATTACGTGTTTTGTATTGAGGTGAAAAGGAACACAGTTTGTCCCGTACTTCAGCTACAATGAAAAAGACACAAAGCTGGATTTATTCTGTCTTTGCTGCACAGCTGCCTCTTCTTCTCTCATTTTCTTGTTTCTACTTCAATCATGAAACTGATCAATGATCAGCTGATCGGCTTTTCTCTCTTGTTTGTTTATCTCCCACTTTGTAAACCAGCGGATATCGCGCTAAACAACAGCAGCACGTTTAAGCTTGATCAGCTGTTGTTAGAATTTATTTAATATTAATTTCTAGTATCAGCTGATGTTTGCTGGAGCCACAGCTGTAAAGCTCCTGGTCATGATATCGGTTTGGTTATCTGGTGAGAGGGAAACATGAAGATGAAACCAGGAGATGTCCTTACTGAATCATCAGAGCTGTGATGGAGAAACAGGTTTACCTTTTAGGTGACATGAATGAGTTGAAGGGAAGTTATGAACTGTTTCTGAGAGACAAATAACCCCAGGATCCTTTTCTAAGTAGCTGACAGCTGGTAAATGTGCAGGGGCGGGTCTAGCAAAGTGTTGCCAGGGGGGCAGGTAGGGCATTAACGGAAAGGGGGGCACAAAAGAAATACTTTTCTTTCTTTTTCTCATTTAAAATGTCTCGCTTTTAACAAATAATTATCTGAATCTTACAACAAACATTTTCATCTGACATAAAATGTATAGAAATCCATTATTGTACATAGTAAATTTTTTAGGGTCCCATCATAATTTTTTCAGAAGTAGCTAAGTACTGTATATAATTCCAGTATTTTCCCACATTTTCTAGATACTGTACCAGTACTGTGTGTAAAATGCCATCAAAAAGTAAATTAAGTTTTATTCTTTCTCACCTGTCTTTCTCCTTTCACTTTTTTAAAGGTTGCCATGTTAGAAAAAATATTTTGCCCTGTCATGCTGTTTATTGATGTGGCAAATGAATGGTTTATGAAAATATATCTAAATCTGTCATCAGTAATCAGTAATGATCATGTCTCACCTCTAGTCTTCTCTGTCTTAATTTCAGGTTTTCACCAAGCAGTCTCTGGGTTTCGGCTAAGTACTGTTTAGAATACCAGAATAGGGAGGATGGTGTAGGTTTAAGTTTATTAGACTGATACATATACCAACAAGACAGCGTACATCACTGTGACAACAGCGTTTGTTTTCATTTAAAGGATTTATGGTTTTTCTATAATACCTGGTCTCTAGTCAAAATGCCCGGGCCGATTTTTTGTCCCAGTCCAGCCCTGAACATGGGGCATGTAAGAAGGTGTTTCCAAGTTCTCGTTCAAACATTCTTTTCTCGCCCTTCAAAGAACACACGTAGGCAGGTAGGGCAACAACAAACTATTTAAACTAACACGCTTTTTATTGCTGTCATATAATGCATCTGTTTTTTATTTGTTAACTGCATAAAACACACATAAAGTTTACATCTTTCTTTCTTTTTTCAAATCAAATCAAATCACTTTTATTGTCACATCACATGTGCAGGTACATTGGTACAGCACATGTGAGTGAAATTCTTGTGTGCGAGCTTCATAAGCAACAGAGTTGTGCAAAATACAATAATGTAAACAAGCAAAATACAAGAATGGCTACATCTGAAACTAATAAATATATGTACAATATATAATAGATATATAATAGTATATGCATTTCTGGATGTGTATATGTCAGGGAGTTTTTAATGTTTTATTTGATTATGCTTCAAATGTTATGTTATACTTATGTTCACATATTTCACCAGACACAGTTTTCTGTTGAAACAGGAAGCTGACCCTGTGACACTGGGATTTACCGCAAGAGATCAGCACAGAAATACACATCCGCAGAAGTTGACTTGCATTATCTTATTCTTAGAAATTGACTTGTAGCACACACACTTTGTGACACACACACACACAGCTTACACACAGACAGCATCAGGACCTGCGTGACAGGAAATGTGATTATATTTGCATATTGACGATGTAACCTATAATAATAAACGAATACTGCAGTTCGGTGTGTCTCTCTGTCTGAGATTCACCCGTGCCGCACGTTATCAGTATCAAGTGTCTCAGTGTTGTTTATTCACCTGACCGTTTGTTAACTGTAAATCTCTGACAGTATACTAAATGTTTTTCTACGTGTGTGTGTGTGTATACACATATTTTACAAATGAAATAGAGTAAACAATAAAATAAAATATATAAAATATACAGAGTGAGACATGTGCAAAACAGTGGCGTTACTGTACAGTATGGAGTGCATAATGTTGAAGTTCCAGTAGTGAAGCTGAGGTGTCTATGACGTGTTCAGCAGTCTGATGGCCTGATGGAAAAAGCTGTCTCTCAGTCTGCTGGTACGGGACCGGATGCTGCAGAACCTCCTTCCTGATGGAAGCAGTCTGAACAGTTTATGGCTGGGGTGACTGGAGT